CACCATCCCCTTACCCCCTCCCCATCCACTTGTGTCCCCCCCTCCCCATCACCCCTTCTTCAGCCTTTTATCACTCTGCTCCCCATCGCCCCCTCCCCATCTCCTTATCCTCCCCCATTCCATCCGTGTCCCCCCCCATCCCCTTGCCTCCCCCTCCCCATCACCCCCTCCCCCTCACCTCCTCCCCATCCCCATCCATTTGTGCCCCCCCATCCCCATCACCCCCTCCTCACCCTTTTATCCCCCTTATCCCCACCGCCCCCATCCCCACCCCTTTGACCCCCCGTCCCTTTGTTCCCCCCAATCCCCATCGCCCCCTCCCATCCCTCTGCCCCCCACTGCCCCCCCCCAAACACAGACTCATTTCTATCAGAAAAACACCCTGAGATCAACCAACTCCATCCCTGTTTCACCCCCCCCCCATCCCCCCCCCTTTGTCCCCTCACCGGGATGCGCAGCTCCCTCAGTGCCCCCCCGATGCTGCCCAGGTAGGTGGGCAGGAGGTCGAGCAGAGCCGTGCCCAGCAGCACCCCCCCCCCCAGGCAGCCCAGGAGGCTGAGAGCGGCGCTGGGGGGACCTGGAGGGGGGGGGGGGGGGATTCGTGAGACCCCTGAGCTGCCCTTCCCCCCCCCTCCCCCAGATCCGAACCTCCCAGAATCCCCCAAAGCAGCCCCAGGGCAGCCCCCCCCCATCCCCCCCTCCCCCCCCGCACCTCATAACCCCCAGAGACCCCCGGGACCCCCCTGGGGACCGAGTTCCCACATCCCCGGATGGTCCTTTCCCCCCCCCCCCCCCGCCCGGGACCCCCTCCAGGTCCTCCTCCACAGCTCCCTCAACGACCCCCCCCGTACCCCCCCCCCCATGTCCTCCGGGCCAGCTTCCAATCCCCGACCCGCACCGTACCGACCTCCCCATGTCACCCCCTCCCCCCCCCAAGACCCCCCCATCCCCCACGGCTGCCCCCCGAGAGTCCCCCGACCCCATAGACCCCCATAGACCCCCAGGACCCCCCTCAGGGCGGAGTCTCCCACACCCTCAGAATTATCCCCCCCCCCCCCCCCCCCCAGGGACCCCCCCGGATCCTCAGGCTGCCCCCAGGCCCCCCTCAACCCCCCCCCACCCAAGACCCCACATCCCCCAAAACCCCCGACCCGCACCATACCGACCTCCCCGTGTCGCCCCCCAAGACCCCCCCCCACCGAGCCCTCAGACCCCCCAACCCCCAGGGCAGCCCCCCGAGAGCCCCCCATAGCCCCCCCCGGGACCCCCGACCCTCACCGTACCGCCCCCCCCCACCGAATCACCCCCCCACCCCCCGCCCGTACCGGAGCCCGCGGGGCCGCGCACGCAGCAAAGCGCTCCGAGGCCGCAGCACAACGGCAGCAGCAGCAAAGCCGCCATCGCCCCCAACTTCAGCGGCAGCTCCGCTCCTCTCGGGGGGGTCCGCGCGGCCCCGGGGCTCCACGACAGCGCCGCGACCCCGGGGCCGCTCCCCGCCGCCATCCCGGAGCCGCCGATCCCGCTGCCGCCCTCCGGAGCTCGGGAAGGGGGGGGGGGGGGGGGGGGCGGGACCGGGCAAAGCTCCGCCCCGGGAACTCGGGGAAAGCCCCGGGGATGCGGGCCGGGGGCGGCTCCGAGATGGGCGGAGCTCAAAGCCGACGGCACCGCTCGGCACCGCTCGGCACCGCTCGGCACCGCTCGGCACCGCTCGGCACCGCTCGGCACCGCTCGGCACCGCTCGGCACCGCTCGGCACCGCTCGGCACCGCTCGGCACCGCTCGGCACCGCTCGGCTCGCCCCCATCCCCATCGGCCCCTCCTCATCCTTTTATCCCCCAAAACCCCTCCCCACCGCCCCCTCCCCACCCCTTTGCCCCCCCCCCATCCCCCCTCCACCCTACCGCCTCCTCCCCATCCCTTTGCGTCCCCCCCCGCCCAGGAGAGGGACAACAACCACCTCCCCCCCCCCGTGGCAAAGCGGCTTTAAGGGGGCTCAGAGCGGCCCCGCAAGGCCCCCGCACCCCGCCCCCACCATTCCCAGACCCATCGAGAGGAGAGGGGACATCAGGCACACAGCAGCGACACACGCGTGACAACCCGGCGTTTATTGCACAGCCCCAAACCGGGGAAACCGCGACGCCCCCCCTCGGTGCGGAGCAGCACCGCAGGGAGCAGCGTTCGTCCGTGGGCTGACAGCAGGGGGGTGACGCCTCGGGGGGGGGTCACCGCGTCCACAAGGCGACGATCGGAGCCGCTGTCCCACAGGCGGCAGCTCCGCGTCCCACGGCACACAGGGGCTCCGTGCCAGCGCCGTCCCGGTGCCCCGGGTGCCTTCAGATGGATTCGATTTGTTTGCGCACCTTTTCCAGCGCCCTCCGATCCAACGCCCGCTGCCTCCAAACCACCAACACGGCGCAGACGGCGGCCAAACACATCATGGAGCCCACGAAACGCCAGAAGATTCGCGCTTCCATCACGGCCGAGCGGCAGCTGAACGGCCGCGGTCACAAAGTGCCACCGCTGCGCCCAGGGAGAGGAGATTTGGGGGTTCGGAGCCCCCCCCCCCCCCCCCGATCACGACCCCCACCCCCACCTCTTGTATTCGTCCCGCTTGGAGGCGGCGCAGCTGATCTTCTCCACGAAGCCCGTGGGGCCGCATTCCGGGATGCTTTTCTGTGAGGGGGGCAGCAGGAGTGGGGAGGGGGGGAGTAAAAGGGGGGAGGGCACGGAGGGGCTGGAAGGAAAGGGGCTGGGGGGGAGGGCAGCGCGGGGCCTGGAGTGAGGGCACGGCTGGGCTGGGAGCATCGGGACCGGGGGGAGGTCAGGGACGGAGCTGCGGGGTCAGGGATCGGGGACTTGACAGGAACCGGGGGGTCAGGGCCTGGGGTGTCGGGGATCGCGGCCCCCCCGCACTCACCACCTCGAAGCTGGAGCAGCTGCCGCACTCCCGCGCCACCACGAACTCCTCCCGCCTCCAGCACGGCGTTGCGGGGCTCGCTGCGGGCACCGGGCCGGGGTCAGCGGATACCCGCGTATCGCCGGGACCCCCGAACACCCCCCCTCTCTCCGGACCCCCGTCCCGCACCCACCGGAGCGCCGCTCCTCGCTCGCCGCCATCGCCGCCACCGCCGTCACGGGCCTGCGGAGAGAGCGCGCGGCCTCGCACCGGCACCGGGCCTCGCGGAGGGCCCCAGCCCAGGCCCCGGCCCGACCCCGCTGCTCACCGTAGCCCAGCGCCCAGCAGCGCGCACAGCGCCCAGAGCAGAGCGTACGGCACGCGGCAGCGCGGCCCGGCCCCGCACCGGGACCGCATGGCGCCCCGCAGTCACCGCGCGGGGCTCCGAGCGCGGAACGACGCCGCCATCAACCGTCCTCACGAGGGCTTCCGGGAGCGGGGGCGGGGCTTCCAGGCGCGGGGGCGCGACTTCCGGGAATGGAGAGCGCGACTTCCTGTGTGCGCGTGGCTCGAAGCAAAGGGGCGCGGCTTAAGGTTCTTTCCCAACACGGCCGCCGCCCTTCCCAAGATGGCGCCGCTCCCACTTCCGCCCGTGCGGGGAACCCCGCAGCGGATATAGCACCGCCCGTTTCCGGTCCTGCCCCTTTTCGGTCGCTGCCGCCGCACGCCGCCGCCATGCCTGTGAGTGCGCCGCGCCGCCGCCGTCCCGCGGTCCTCCCGCACCGAGCGTCCGCGGGCCGGGAGGGGCAGCGCGAGCCGGGAGGAGCGGGGCGGGGGCGGGAAAGCCGCGGGGGCGCTGGGGGGCCGGGCGGGGCAGGGCCGGCCGCCATCTCGTCGGGCGCGGGGGCGCAAGATGGCGGCGGGCGCTGAGCGCTGTGCTCGCAGCTGGCCAAGGACCTCCTGCACCCCTCCCCGGAGGAGGAGAAGCGCAAGCACAAGAAGAAGCGCCTGGTGCAGAGCCCCAACTCCTACTTCATGGACGTCAAGTGCCCAGGTGAGGGAAGGGCGCCCGGCGCTCCCCGGCTCTTCCCGCCGGCCCGGCCCGCCGCCCGACTGCCCGCTTCTCTCCCGCAGGCTGCTATAAAATCACCACCGTGTTCAGCCACGCGCAGACCGTCGTGCTCTGCGTCGGCTGCTCCACCGTGCTGTGCCAGCCCACGGGCGGCAAGGCGCGTCTCACAGAAGGTGGGTGAGCGCCGGCTGCTCCGTACCCGACGGGCTCCCCGTGAAGCCGCGCGGCTCTGCCGGCCCGAGCGGAGGATGCCGACAGGCCGGCAGCCCGGGGCTCGCAGCAGCCGCGCTGCTCACCGCTCCGTTCTCCCCTCCTTCCCCCCCCCCCCCCAGGATGCTCGTTCCGAAGAAAGCAGCATTAAAGCCGCGGCGCCGGGATGGCCGGGGCTGCACACACGGCGGCCGCACGGCACGGAGCCCCGGGGGGCATCCCGGCAGTGTGAGCTGTGCTGTCCCTGCAGCCCCCCCCATCTTGCTGTCAATAAATTTTGGATAAAACGGTCGAATTGGTTTTATTGCTCGTGAACGGAGGGAGGTGGGGCTGTTGGCTTCTGCCGAGCGGCAGAACCGCCTCCACCTTCCCTTCAACGGCCAACAGCCGACCTGCGTGCTTCAGCCCAACAGATGGGGGGGGAGCTGGGTGCTGCCCTCCCCCCCGCTCACAACACAGCAGCTCCACGCGTTACGAGGGCGCTCGGATTCAGTTCTGCACGCTCCACAGCCCCAGCTGCCTCCTGCTGCCTCTCTGCGTGGGGCCGAGGGGGTGGAAAACGCCTGCGTGGGAAATAAAGGGCTGCACCCCACGTCCACAGAACCACAGCAGCCGTGGGGTCCAATGCCTGCTCTGACCCCTCAAAGTCCCCACAGCTTTGGAGCTTTTCCTCCAGGGCTGGTAATGAAGTCCCTGCGCCGCTCCCGTGGTGGGGATGTGAGCCCAGCGCTGAGCCGACTGCAGGGCGCTCACCTGCCCGAGGCACAGCCATGTTGGGCACATAAACGAGGGGCACAGCCTGCAGCCTGGCCAGGAAGGCGTTGTACGCTGCCGAAACAGAACCCGGTCAGCACCGTGCCCTCAAAGCTGCCTTAAGAGCTGCCAAAAAGCGGGAGGGGTGGGGGGAAAACGAAGGGAGGAGGAGAGGGACGGGGATGGGCCGAAGGACGCAGGTGTTGATTAGTGGATGACAGAGCTGTGCGCTTACCGAGGTAAGTAACAGCTGTGGATCCCAGGACGGCAAAGAGAGTGAAGAGGAGGATGTGGAAGAAGCTCGCGAGCTGCAGCTGAATTCCCACCGCGCCGCGCTGCCCTGAGGCGCAAAGAGAGGGGAGGTGAGGCACGGCCAGCAGCTCTGAGAGCTTCCCCCGGCGGCCTGCGAGGGGCAGCACCTCGGGATCAGCGTCGCACCGGGACGGCAGCGGTAAATGGGGCCGAATCGCGGCACCGTGAACGGGCGCGGCGCCCCGACAGATCCAGAAGCGGGCGCTCACCCGGGGGCTGCTCCGCCGCGACGGCTCTGGCTGTGACCACGTCCCTTTGGCCGGTGAGGGGACAAGAGACGCTGATGGAGACCGCCGGCCCCTGGCGGAGGGAGCTGAAGTCGAGCACACGCACGGCGTAATGCACGAGCCCGGGCCTGTTGGAAAAGAACTCGGGAGGCGCCACCGCTACGGCTGGAGAGCTGGACTGAACCTGGGGACGGAGAAACGCAGCGTCAGCCGCCGCGGCTGCTGCCGAATGCAGGAAACGGCGACGGCTTTCAGAGCCAGGGGACGAACGACCGGGCTGCGCTCGGCAGCCGTTGCTGCGCGTCCCCGCGGTGGCTGCGCGTTTCTGCCCCCAGGAACGCAGACAGCAGAGCAAAGCTTTTCTCCATACCTCCAGTTGTTGCAGGACCTGCTCGGCTCCCAGCACGCTCAGCACGGCGCTCGGCTGCGTGCTGCTGAACGCTAATTCTGAGTGACCGAGGGAGAAGGCAGGGAGGAAAGGAACCAGGATGCTCTGTGTGTCGCTGCTGAGAGAAACCAGGACGTGCACAGAGGCGTCGGTTGTGCTGAGCGCCCGCAGGGCTTCGCTGGGCTGCGGTTTAGCGGTGATGACGCAGACATAGAGACCTGCGTGGCAGACAGGATCCACAGAATGGCCGGGGCTGGAAGGGACCTCAAGGCTCACGAATCTCCAGCCCCCTCTGCCACATGCAGGGCCACCAACCTCCATGCTAAATGCTAAAGCAGGCTGCGCAGGGCCCCATCCAACCTGGCCTTGAACACCTCCGAGGACGGGGCATCACAGCCTCTCTGGGCAGCTGTTCAGCACCTCACCGCTCTCTGGGTAAAGAATTTCCCCCTGCCTCCCCTCCCTCGACTTAAAACCACTTCCCCTCGTCAACCCTTTCACAGAGTTGATTCCCCTCCCCTCTGTAGGCTCCCTTTAGGTACCGAAAGGCTGAATTCGCGACAGAACAAAACCAGAGCGGCAGAACGAGGCGCCGCGTTCTGAGGTCACCTCACCTTCCTGGGTGCTGAACTCGGCGCTCACGTGGAAGACGTCCCCCGCTGCAACGCCCTCCACGGCGCTGCTGAACTTCAGCTGGCACCGCAGGTGGGACTGAGGGACCAAACGCTGCCTGATGGCATCGACCTGAGCGGAGCTGCAGGAGCCTGCGGGGAGAACGCGGGCCTGAATCCATCAGCCTCTCACCCTCAGCGGAACAAGGCCAAGTTTGCCCCGCACACAAAGCAGCGCCGGTCGGGTTTCGCCATCGGAATCCCCAGGTCTGGTGCTTGTAGGGCAGCTCCTACCTTGGAGGGTTTCTCTCCCGCTGCCCGTGGCAATGAGAAGGCGGAAGGCAGAGGAATTGGGAGCGTTGGTTAAAAAGCTGTTCTGAGCAGCCTGGAGATGTAAGCGAGACGAGGCATCGACTGCCACCTGAAAGGTGCAGAACAGACACCGAGTCACACGGCAGGCAAACGCTTCTCTTTCTTCTGTTATCCCACACAACTCGCCTAGCTTGGTAATTAAAGACAGCTCTGAAGGACACTGAGAGCACGGTGAAACACCTCCAGTGGAAACGAGCACCCAGCCCTCCTCGCTTTGTTTCTTGCCCTTTTATCGCCAGGAGTTTCAGAGCAACTCCGAGTCTGGCTGCCAGTCCCTGCTAACAGTGCCCCCCTCCAGGGCCTGCGTGCATCTCAGCAGCACAGCGCTGCAGGGAACAGCTGAGCTGCTGCTTCTCTGCTTGAGAACAACAGCATCAACACACGCACAGACCTGGAGTGCAGAAGCCCCTCTCATAGGACGGCCTGGGAGCACAAGGGCCATCAGCTCCAACCCTCTGCTGTGTGCAGCCCAGGCTGCCCTGAGAACCCATAGGGTGCCATAGGGATCCATAGGGTGCCATAAGGATCCATAGGGTGCCACAGGGTGTCATAAGGATCCATAGGGTGCCACAGGGATCCATAGGGTGCCATAAGGATCCATAGGGTGCCACAGGGATCCATAGGGTGCCATAAGGATCCATAGGGTGCCATAAGGATCCATACGGTGCCACAGGGATCCATAGGGTGCCACAGGGATCCATAGGGTGCCATAAGGATCCATAGGGTGCCATAGGGATCCATAGGGTGCCACAGGGATCCATAGGGTGCCATAAGGATCCATAGGGTGCCATAAGGATCCATAGGGTGCCACAGGGATCCATAGGGTGCCATAAGGATCCATACGGTGCCACAGGGATCCATAGGGTGCCATAAGGATCCATAGGGTGCCACAGGGATCCATAGGGTGCCATAAGGATCCGTAGAGTGCCACAGGGATCCATACGGTGCCACAGGGATCCATAGGGTGCCATAAGGATCCATAGGGTGCCACAGGGATCCATAGGGTGCCATAAGGATCCATAGGGTGCCACAGGGATCCATAGGGTGCCACAAGGATCCATAGGGTGCCACAGGGATCCATAGGGTGCCATAAGGATCCATAGGGTGCCACAGGGATCCATAGGGTGCCACAGGGATTCATAGGGTGCCATAAGGATCCATAGGGTGCCACAGGGATCCATAGGGTGCCATAAGGATCCATAGGGTGCCACAGGGATCCATAGGGTGCCATAAGGATCCATAGGGTGCCACAGGGATTCATAGGATGCCATAAGGATCCATAGGGTGCCACAGGGATCCATAGGGTGCCACAAGGATCCATAGGGTGCCACAAGGATCCATAGGGTGCCATAAGGACCCATAGGGTGCCACAGGGATCCATACGGTGCCACAGGGATCCATAGGGTGCCACAGGGATCCATCGAATGATTGACTCATAGAATGGCCTGGGTTGAAAAAGAGCACAACAGCCATCAGTTCCAACCCCCTGCTGTGTGCAGGTCTCCAACCAGCAGCCCAGGCTGCCCAGAGAACCCATGGGTGCATAAGGATCCATATGGATCCATAAGGATCCATAGGGAGCCATAGGGAGCCATAGGGAGCCATGAGACCCTACAGGATGCCATTAGGATCCATGGAGTCATGGACTCATAGAATGGCCTGGGTTGCAAAGGAGCACAGTGTTCACCTCATTCCAACCCTGCTGTGTGCAGGGTCACCAACCAGCACTGCAGGCTGCCCTGAGAACCCATGGGGTGCCATAGGGATCCATAGGGAGCCATGAGACCCTACAGGGTGCCACAGGGATCCATAGGGTGCCATAGGAGTCCATAGGGTGCTGTAAGGATCCATAGGGTGCCATAATCATAGAATCATCAGAGAATCCTAGAATGGCCTGAGTTGCAAAGAACCACAACAGCCATCAGCTCCAGCCCTGCTGTGTGCAGGTCTCCAACCAGCAGCCCAGGCTGCCCAGAGCCACATCCAGCCTGGCCTCCAATGCCTGCAGGGCTGGGGCATCCACAGCCTCCTTGGGCAACCTGTGCCAGTGCCTCACCGCCCTCTGTGCAGGCTGCTCTCTGCCCTGTGCAATGGTGCTAAATACCTCTCTGTGCGTCTTCACAATCCCTGGGATATCAAGGAAGACAAGAGCAGTTCCAGAGCTCCTCGCTAACGCTGCTCCACTCGTGCTGTCTATGATGAGCACGGAGGGGGGGGAAACGTGCCACGTCCCCGGGTCACCTGCAAACAGGCTGCGAGTTGGCTGCACTGCATGGCGGCTTCAGTCAGAGCCCCTGCAGGGCTGAGGAGCTGCGTTCAGCCAGCAGTGAGCACCACAAATCTCTTCCCGTGCATCTCTGGAGTTCCTACAGAGCTCTGCTCCTTGTAGGCCTCCTCAGGGCAGCTCCTTGCCAGCACTGCCCAGCTAAAGACACCACAGCAGTGCCTGCTAATTCTTCATTCACCTCAATAAATCAGGACCAGAAACTGGAAGGTTAAGTTTGGGGTTCAGCAAGTAAGAAGAATGCTCAAGTGAACGTGAACGGAACGGGAGAAAGCTGCCTGCATTCCTTGGGAGGCTCCCTGCTTCTTTTGCTTCTAAAAATGCCATCAGAGACTTCATTTACCATGCAGCTCTGATGAGCCAGTGACAAAGGCACAGAGGCCGGCCTGCCGCCCCATTACGCAGGAGCAGTTAAGGAAGGCTTTGTTCCAGCACCACTGAGTTGCCCCGGGCGGCCCATCCTCTGAGCGTGCATAAAACAGCCATTCTGAAGTTGGGGAAGAAGGGAAAAATGCTCTTTTTGTGTTAAAGATCATAAAATCGGGCCCACGCTTGAACTCCGAAGAGGCGAGGAAGTGAAGCCCTCCTGCATCAGGGATGCGTGCAGCTCCATCCCCACCCCGAGGCACAGCTCCCATCCCAGGGAAGATTCAAGGCTTCACAACTCAGAGGCGTCCCGTTAAAACCCCACCAGCCCGGCCTTCCTCTGCTCCTGCATGCAAAGCAGCCCAGCTACAGCAAACCAACCTTCCTGGCTGACCAGGGGGGAGCTGAAACAGACAACATCTCCGACCGCCAGGGTCCCGGGCAGCTCCGGCTCGATGGCGCATTCCACGGGCACAGGGATGCAGTCCACCAGCCCCGGCTGCCTCCTGTCCTGCACAGTCAGGAGCGTCACTCCTCTGCTCACGGCCTGGGCGACGTAGCTGTGATTCTTATTTGCGGGTCTAATGAGCAGCAAGTCGTCTCTGGAAACAGAGAGGGAAGAGCTGCAAGTCACCCCTGCAAGGCAGGTTGTCTCCTGCTGTTTGTTTCCCACACGTCGCCATGGAATTTCCCCTGTATTCAGCTCTGGTGAGGCCGCACCTCGAGTGCTGTGTGCAGTTTTGGGCCCCTGAGGGCCTGGAATGCGTTCAAAGGAGGGCAATGAAATGGTGAGGGGTCTGGAGCACAGGGCTGATGAGGAGAGGCTGAAGGAGCTGGGAATGTTCAGCATGGAGAAGAGGAGCTCAGGGGGGACCTCACTGCTCTCTATGGCTGCCTGAAGGGAGGCTGCGGTGAGCTGGGGGTCGGCCTCTGCTCTGGTGCCATCAGTGATAGGAGCAGAGGGAACGGCTTCAAGCCACGGCAGGGGAGATTCAGGCTGGACATGAGGAAGTGTTACTGTTCAGAAAGGTGGGCAGCACTGCAATGGATGCCCAGGGAGGTGGGGGAGGCACCGAGCCTGGGGGTGTCCAAGGAAAGGCTGGATGTGGTGTTGAGGGACGTGGTTCAGTGGGAGCTGTTGGTGAACGGTTGGACTGGATGGGCTTTGAGGTCTTTCCCAACCTTGGTGATTCTTTGATTCTATGAATTGTTGAGGGGCTCTCGATTCTCAACAGCTGGTCTGAAACGCATTTCAGGCTCAAGACGGATCTCAGCATCTCCGTTGTCGCTCGTGACGCCAAAGGGGCCGCAGGCAGCTCTCAGGACCGTACCTGTTCACAGCCAGCTGCAGCTGGGCGTGCTGGGCGTGAAACTTCTCCCCGATGCTGTTGTAGAACTCCACTGCAATGAGCAAAGACATTCCCAGGGGGAAGGCGGCCAAGGGAACGCCGCTGCCGCTACGCATTTGGGGCCCAACGTTTATCTTGATGTAGGAAATGGGGGCGACCTGGAAAAGGAAAGGCGCTGAGCCAAGGTGCTGCCCTGCGTGAGGCCTGGTGGCTGAGCGCCGCCTGAGTCTCACCTGGATGCTGGTTACGATGGTCTGATTGACTCCAAAGAGCTCCAGGGAAGTCACCTCCAGCGCAGCAATGCCTGGGATGGGCCCGGCCCTCAGCAGCCCTTGCTCGCGTTCCTCGAGGACCGAGGAGTTGGGGTAACACTGCAGGATCTGGAAGCTGACAGACGCAGCCCCTTCCCTTGGCCAGGAACGAAAGCAAGAAGATTCTGTTAGATTTGCACAGCCTGGAAGTTCGTTTCACCCTCAAGCAACGAGCAGCAGCAGCTCGTCTTCTCTTTTTCCTCCTGACTGAAAACGTTCAGGGTGGCTCCCGAGTTCCTCAAGACCGACATCTCAACAGAACCGACCACCAAAACCCCAGCAGGACAGGCAGACAGCAAAGCCTGACGTCTTTGTTTTGGAGGCAGGAACTGAGGAGTTTGCTTTTTTCACCACGTCGCTGTTGGAGCTCAGCAGGGGATGTTTCACCCCCTTTAAAAACCTGAGGAGTGTTTCCTGCTCTGCGCTGAACTACGCTCAACGCATTCTTTCCAGACAGCAGCTTGAAGCAGAGCATGCTTCAAATTCCCAGCTTTGGAGCAGGAAATACGTCAGACTCTGCTGAGTATCTCGGGACAGGAAACGGGAGCTAAGAGGCAGCTGCACGTGCTGCCAGGAGAGAAGCACAGCTTCGCAGGTCAGCTGCCCTGCGTTCTGGGTTTTCCTTCCTGTGTCTACCTGTTTGTGTACAGCTCGAGTTGCGAATTCGTGGACATTAAAATTTGCTCAGTGGAAAACAAGGGAGGGAATACAGACAGCTTTTCAAACACCTACAGGCAGAACAAAAAGAAATGATTACACAGAGACACCGAGAAATGGATTAACAAGAGCTGGAAGTCAGGAGTGAAGGAAGAGCAGTTCCTGCTCACCACAAGAGCAGACAAGGAGGTGCAAAGCTCTCCTTGCAGCCGTGCCCCAAATGAAGCCTTCCTGCTGCTCCTGCTCTTGCAGGCTGCCCCCAGTGTCCCCCACTCCAAACGGAGCCTCTGCAAGGAGCCCCTGGCACGTACCAGGACCTGCACTTCGTCTGACAGCTCAGCCACGTTGCCTTCAAACTGCCCAGCAGAGGCGTTCAGGCACTGCACCTTCACCCTGATGCCTGTTCTACCTGCCGCCCTCGTGCGCACGACCATAGCGACGTTGTTCTGCGCTGGGAGCTCAATGGAGACCTGTTAAGAGGCAGCCGAGCTGCAGGCCAACCCGTCTTTGGATCAACAACTGCCTGCATGCTCCTGTCCCACCTCCCGAGGCCTTCAGCCACGCGCTGCGCTGTGAGGCCACTCTTGGAGGCTTCTCCCTACCTCCCTGTGCCGAGGAAGCAGCTCCAGGACGTCTCTTTTGCTCACTGACCACTGGAAACTCAGCTCTGGGTTGGCGTTGCTGAAGGAAAAGGGAGTCAGCATGTTGTTCAGCCCCACCACGAAGACTGGCATCTGCAGAGGAACAACAGGCACCAGACAGAAGTGTCACAGAGGAAGAATGCCGTCAGCAGCGGGCATCTGAGCTTCCCTGTGGCCTGGGCTTCTTGGCCCAATCCTGTACGAAGGGCAGAGCTCATTACATGGGGCTCATTACATGGGAATCATTACATGGGGCTCATTACATGGGGCTCATTACATGGGGCTCATTACATGGGGCTCGTTACATGGGGCTCATTACATGGGAATCATTACATGGGGCTCATTACGTGGCATTAGCAATCGAGTTGAACCCCTGCAACTCACAGGAGGGGAGCTGTGTCTGATACACAGGTGATGAACTCACTGCAGCACTGCATTGTCTGCAGTCCTTTAGAACACAAAAGAAACCCTCCTCAACCTGGCTGAAATGCCTGGCAGCAGCGAGGAGGTCGTCACCTCTCCCCACCCCAAATCCACTGAATGTGTATTTCAAGACCTGAAATCAGCCCCTGCATCTCCAGGGAAACCGAGAGGGAAGGAAAGGTGGCTGTTTTGGAGCAGAGCAGCTCTCTGAAGGCACCCAGCCCTTCTGCAGCAGCTGAGAAATTCACTTTTTAAACACGCAAATAAAATCCTCCCTCAGAATCTCTCCTTTGGCTTTAAAAGCGCTGCAGGCACACGACAGCCCTCCAGATCTCCACAAAGGAATTCCAGACAGCGCTCTGCTACAGCGCAGCTCCCTCCGGCCGCTGTGACGTGGCCCACATTCCAGGCTCCTCACCAACCCACAGCCATCTCTGCTGCCCTCACGCTCACACAGAGCTGCTTCCCAGCCCGTAAATCCAGATCAGGGCTGTAGGCTGCAAGACCTGAATTCCATGTGAGCAGCTGCAGAGGGCTGGTGCTTCTCTCTAATCTAACGGTGCTGCTTTCTGCTGCACCCTGGGATGAACGAACTGGAAAGCGAAGGAGTTCCTTCTACTGATGGCTGCGCTCCAGTCAGCACTGAGCTCAGGGTTCAGAACCACAGGCATTTATTCATCCGTTTATTAAGGATCTTCCTTATCTTTTGGCCATGGGAAGCTTTCAGTGAGGGCCACGGTACCTCAGTGCCTGCGATCAGCCTCGCGGAGGGGACGTGAATTCGTACAGCGTTTAACCGGATCACTTCCAGCTCCACTCGATCCTGCAAAGCACAACAGCACTTCAGCACAGCGACGTCTGCACGGCATCACAGAACTGCAGGGGTTGGAAGGGAGCTGCAGAGCTCACGGAGTCCAACCCCCTGCCAAAGCAGCTCCTACAGCAGTCGCACAGCTCGGCATCCAGGCAGGTCTGGAACATCTGCAGAGCAGGAGACTCCACCATCTCCATGGGCAGCCTGTTCCAGTGAGCAGTGGGACCATAGAGACACATTGGGACCCATGGAGACACGTTGGGACCCATAGAGACACATTGGGACCCATTGGGACACATAGAGAAACGTTGGGACCCATAGAGACACATTGGGACCCATAGACTCCACCACCACCCTGTGCAGCCTGTTCCAGTGAACAGTGGGACCCATAGAGACACACTGGGACCCATAGAGACACATTGGGACCCATAGAGACATGTTGGGACCCATTGGGACACGTTGGGACCCATAGACTCCACCACCTCCTTGTGCAGCCTGCTGCAGTGAACAGTGGGACCCATAGAGACACGTTGGGACCCATTGGGACCCATAGAGACACGTTGGGACCCATAGATTCCACCACCACCCTGTTCAGCCTGTTCCAGTGAACAGTGGGACCCATAGAGACACGTTGGGACCCATTGGGACCCATAGAGACACGTTGGGACTCATGGAGACACGTTGGGACCCATAGACTCCCCCACCTCCCTGTGCAGCCTGTTCCAGCACTCCGTCACCTCACTTCAAGAAGTTCTTGCGCACATTGGTGCAGAACTTCCTCTGCTGCAGCTCATGGCCGTTTCCCCTCCTCCTGTCTCCACTCACCACTGAAAAGAGCCTGGCCTCACCATTCTGCCCCCCACACCTCAGATATTCACAGACCTGGATCAGCTCCCCTCTCAGTTGTCTTTTCTCCATGCTGAACAGACCCAGCTCACTCAGCCTTTCTCCATAGCAGAGATGCTCCAGGCCCCTCACCATCTTTATGGCCCTCCGCTGGACTCTTCCCAAGAGCTCCCTGTCTGTTTTGTGCTGGGGAGCCCAGACCTGGCTGAGGCAGTGCTGCAGATGAGGCCTCACAGGGCAGAGCAGAGGAGGAGCATCGCCTCCCTCCACCTGCAGCTCTGCCTCCCAAGCACGCTGCCCTGGCTGCTGCCCTGTCAGGCAGGGAAGGGGCTGCCAGCACCTCCCCACAGCCAGCCTGCAGCGCTGCTGACCGCTGCCCAGCCCAACACACGGAGGTTCCTCGTGGAGCTCCTGGATTCCCGCTGCCTTTCACTGCATCCCTCTGGGGGCGCCAGAAAGCAAGGAAGAAGAGTGGAGAAGTTTCCCCCCTGCTCCGGATGGCCGCCTCTCCTGCTTGTGACTGTTAAGACCGTTTTTACTGATGACCAACACCAGATCCACGTGCCTTTAACGGGAGGTTTTTTTTTTCCCAGGCCAGCTTTTCAAGGTCTGGCTGCCAACGGGATTCAAAAGGCTGACAAAGGGAAGAGGGAGTAAAGAAGGCGGAGGGAAGATACCTGTGAGAACACGGTCACTCTTCCCGTGTCTTCGCTGACCACCTGGACGCTGCCCTGGATGCTGGCTCTTCCCACTGCCTTTGCTGTTATATGTCCAAGGCAGCTGACCTCAGCCACGGAGCGGTTGGAGACAGAGAAGTGGACGCTGGATCGTGGCTGGGGACCACCTTCAGACATCACCTGAAGCGTGTTTAAACCGGAGAGCCGTTCGTTAAGACAGACATCAATTAGCAAATAATCCCCACGCCGCCGCTGCGAGGGAAGGAATCGACTCCTCCGGCTGCCCGTCCCACGCCTCTCCCACCGCAGCCCTTTCGCTTCAAAGGACACAAAATCCACCACGCAGCCCCGTCCTGGCGCCCTCTGAGGGCACAGCACCAGGGCGGCATCACGGCCCAGCAGCTCCCTGCCGACTCTGCGTCCGCAGCACCCAGCTCTCCAGCCCAGCACTCAGAAGCAGCGCGCAGCAGCAGCGAAGCTCAGTGCAGCAGCCGAGGAGGCTCTGGGATGCGCAGCGCTGAACTGAGGTCTGATCACCGCCACAGGGCAGGATTTGGGAGCAGGAACACGAATAGGATTCGGAGCCTTTCCTCCTAAGCTTAATTAAGCTCTTTTCACCACATGAATGGTATCGTGAAATACTAAGGGGGAAAGGAAGCAAGAAAAAATGCTCACCTGCATCATATTGTGTGGAATAAGGGTAATCTTCCTTGGGATGAGTTTAAACGGAGGAAAGACCTGGCAGAAGGGAAGGATATTCTGCTGTAAACCATTACACGTGCTTTTCTATACACCAGACAGTACAGAGGCTGCTGGCGCTCAGTTCACATCCAAGGGGACCTGGGGCAGCCTTGCACAGAGCTCTCTAGCGAGGGCAGTGCTTCTGCCTTCCGAACGCAAGGGCTGGCAGAACAAGGGGCCACGCTGCCAAAACGCAATCAGCAGAGCTGCTTTCATCTCCCCTGAAGCACCTGGAACACAAGGATTCCACAGCAGCCAAAAAAAAGAGCAGATCTCAGAGCTGTGCGTCCTCACCTCAAGTTTCCGAGGAGCAGAAGTGATTTTTCTGCCCATCCCGTCCCAGGCTGTAGCTACCAAAGTCGTGTGGCCCACGGCGACAGCATGAAGTACGTGCAGCTGGGAATATTCTCCCGCTTCCTCCACTTGCCTAGAAGACACTTCAGCATGACTCCACTTCTCATTTCCTGTGTTATAACTATGAGATAAGTCGGGCAGGAACTGCTGAGCTGGCAAGTTACAACAGAGAGGCTTGTATTGCCCACAGCACACAGCTCTGAATGGCGAAACACCACGTAATAAAGACAATAAATGTGAGGGAATCGACTCCTTGGGTGAAAGAGGAACGGATGGACGGAGCTACCAGGCCTGAATAACGCCAATAGTTCCCCCGGAGTTCTCAGGTCTGTTAGAACCATAGAATCATAGAATCATAGAACCACAAGGTTGGAAACGACCTGTAAGAGCATCTGCTCCAACCATCTCCTCATCACCTCTGCCACCACCGGCACCGAACCACCTCACACAGCTCCTCATCCAGGCACCTCTTGAGCACTGCCAGGGACGGCGCCTCCTCCACCCCCCTGTGCAGCCATTGCAGTCCTGACCACCCCGAGAGGAAAAGTTCTTCCTTATGTCCAACCTCAACCTCCTTTGATACAACTTGCAGCCATTGCAGTCCTGACCACCCTCTGAGAGAAAAAGTTCTTCCTTATGTCCAACCTCAACCTCCTTTGATACAACTTGCAGCCATTGCCCCATGTGCTGCTCATTGCTTGGGAGCAGAGGCCAAATCCCTCTTCACCACAACCTCCCTTCACGCAGTTGCAGAGTGCAGTGAGCTCTGCCCTGAGCTCCTCTTCTCCAGACTAAACAACCCCAGCTCCCTCATCCTTGTGCTCCACACCCCTCACCATTTCCTTGCCCTCCTCTGAACGCCTTCCAGGGCCTCAACGTCTTTCCTGCAGCGAGGAGCCCAAAACTGAACCCAGCACCGGAGGTGCGGCCTCACCACAGGGATGCTCGCCTCCCTGCCCTGCTGGCCATTCCTCATGCAGGCCAGGATGCCGTTGGCCCTTTGGCCACCCGGGCTCCCTGTGGGCTCCTGTTCAGCCTAGCATCCGCCAGCACCCCCAGCTCCTTCTCTTCTTCACGCCCCCAGCCGCTCATCCCCAAGCCTGCAGCGCTGCATGGGGTTGCTGTGCCCAAATGCGTTGGCCCTGTTCAACCTCATCCCATTCACCTCAGCCCAGTGATCCAGTTTATCCAAATCTCTCTGCAGGGCCTCGCTGCCTTCAGGCAGATCCACACCACCTCCCAGCTTGGTGTCACCTGCAAACTGAGGGTGCACTCAATGCCCTCATCAGGTCCTCGATGAAGATATTAAACAGGATGGGCCCCAGCACCGAGCCCCTGGTTTTCCTCACAAGGTGAATATTCTCAGCACTCTTTGGCACGGCCCGGCCCGACGCAACGCTCACCCAAGGGTCACAACAGGCGCCGCTGCTTGCAGCTGCAGCTTCATGTACTTGAAGTATTTACTCTGCAGGGGAAGTCGCTGAAAACCCAGCACTCGAACAGTGGCCGTAACGGGGCTGCCAACCTCAGCCTGCATTGAAAGGGAAGAGGGAGGAAGGGAAGGAGCAACTCGCACCCTTCCTTGCTCTGGATGCGAGATGCCAAGCCTGATCTCGTGGTCTTGGCTCCGCTGGGTGGGCAATGCATCCCATAATAGCGGCTTTTAGGAACAGCGGGGCTTCCCCAGGGCTGTCTCACCTTTTCAGTGAGATCCACCTCCACCTCCAGCACATCAGACACGCGCACGTGGGCCGCGACGGGAGGCGAGGAGGCCAAACAGGAATCGTGGATTTGCAGGCTTAAAAATCCAGGCTGCAAAGGGGTGACCTGCAAGGAGAGCAAACAGCACGGCCGTAGCAAGGGGAGAAAACGTTTCCCTCTCTGCTACAGAAACGAGGCGCCGTGCTCAAACCCAGCTGCACCGATGGCTGAGCACAGCTGCGGGATTTGGCTCAGCTCACGCAGCTCCCCCAGGATCCCTCCTGCACCAAGGGAGCCCTGCGCTGTCCTGGGGAACCTTTGGGTCCGGTCTTGTTCAACATCTCTACGTCGAGTGCTGTGTGCAGTTTTGGGCCCCTCACTGCAAGAAAGACATTGAGGGCCTGGAACGCGTTGAAAGGAGGGCAATGAAATGGTGAGGGGTCTGGAGCACAGGGCTGATGAGGAGAGGCTGAAGGAGCTGGGAATGTTCAGCATGGAGAAGAGGAGCTCAGGGGGGACCTCACTGCTCTCTATGGCTGCCTGAAGGGAGGCTGCGGTGAGCTGGGGGTCGGCCTCTGCTCTGGTGCCATCAGTGATAGGAGCAGAGGGAACGGCTTCAAGCCACGGCAGGGGAGATTCAGGCTGGACATGAGGAAGTGTTACTGTTCAGAAAGGTGGGCAGCACTGCAATGGATGCCCAGGGAGGTGGGGGAGGCACCGAGCCTGGGGGTGTCCAAGGAAAGGCTGGATGTGGTGTTGAGGGACGTGGTTCAGTGGGAGCTGATGGTGATGGGGGAACGGTTGGACTGGATGAGCTTTGAGGTCTTTTCCAACCTTGGTGGTTCTATGATTCTATGATTCTATGTTCATCAGTGACCTTGATGAGGGGACGGTGGCCACCCTCAGCAAGTTTGCTGATGATACGAAGTTGGGAGGATTGGCTGAAGGCCGTGCTGCCATTCAGCGAGAGCTGGACAGGCTGGAGAGCTGGGCAGAAAAAAACCGGATGAGGTTTAACAACAGCAAGTGTGGAGTCTTGCATCTGGGGAGGAATAATTGCATGCAGTGGAACAGGATGGGGGATGAGCTGCTGGAGGGGAGCTCTGCACAGAGGGACCTGGGTGTCCTGCTGGACAACAGGTTGCCATGAGCCAGCAGTGTGCCCTTGTGGCCAAAAGGCCAATGGCGTCCTGGGCTGCATTGCACAGAGCGTGGCCAGCAGGTGGAGGGAGGCGATGCTCCCCCTCTGCTCTGCCCTGTGAGGCCTCATCTGCAGCACTGCCTCAGCCAGGTCTGGGCTCCCCAGTACAAAACAGACAGGGAGCTCTTGGAAAGAGTCCAGCGGAGGGCCATAAAGATGGTGAGGGGCCTGGAGCATCTCTGCTATGGAGGAAGGCTGAGTGAGCTGGGGCTGTTCAGCACAGAGAAAAGACAACTGAGAGGGGAGCTGATCCAGGTCTGTGAATATCTGAGGTGTGGGGGCAGCATGGTGAGGCCAGGCTGTTTTCAGTGGGGAGTGGAGACAGGAGGAGGGGAAACAGCCATCAGCTGCAGCAGAGGAAGTTCTGCACCAATGTGCAAAGGAACGGCTGTGCAGTGAGGTGAGGAGCACTGGAACAGGCTGCAGGGAGGTGGGGGAGTCTATGGGTCCCAATGGGTCCCAATGGGTCCCAACGTGTCTCTATGGGTCCCAATGGGTCCCAATGGGTCCCAACGTGTCTCTATGGGTCCCACTGTTCACTGCAGCAGGCTGCACAAGGAGGTGGTGGAGTCCATGGGTCTCAACGTGTCTCCATGGGTCCCAATGGGTCCCAACGTGTCTCTATGGGTCCCAATGTGTCTCTATGGGTCCCAACGTGTCTCTATGGGTCCCAATGGGTCCCAACGTGTCTCTATGGGTCCCAACGTGTCTCTATGGGTCCCAATGGGTCCCAACGTGTCTCTATGGGTCCCACTGCTCACTGGAACAGGCTGCACAGGGAGGTGGTGGAGTCTCCTGCTCTGCAGATGTTCCAGACCTGCTGGATGCCGAGCTGTGCGACTGCTGTAGGAGCTGCTTTGGCAGGGGGTTGGACTGCATGAGCTCTGCAGCTCCCTTCCAACCCCTCCAGTTCTGTGATGCTGTGATTCTGAGCACTGCTGGCTTCCACTTCCAAGCCACACGGCAGCCAAAATTCAGCCTTTGTCCTCTGGCAGTGAGATTACGTTGCTCTCTCTCAAATAAAACCTGGGAAGTTTTGACTTCTGCCTCAGCCACAAACTTTTGCCCTCTGGGTCCCAACCGACCGGCTGCATCTGCAGGTACTGCAGGAGGACACAGCAAACTGCAGGAGGGGATTTTTGTAAGGAACCACATCACATCTCAGCCCAGCCAGGAGACAGGGAAAAAAAAGACCAACAAAAAGCAAAGAGAAAGATTGATTTCCTCCTTTTTTTTCCCTCTGAGGTTGAACCTTCCTCAACACTGCAGTGCGAACCCCTGCACAGCGCTCACCTCGATGGCGCCGTCTGCCTCCAAGTATCTCACGTTCACTATTCCCTCCTTGCTGCTGTTGACCAGGAAGTATCCAGAACCTTCCACAAGACTGAACAGCTCCTGTGGACGAAAATGAAAGCAAACAACTGAGCCCTGAGGTTTCCCTGCCAAACGTGAAGGCAGCACTTGTTGCACACAGCTTCACAGACCCTGCAGGCACAACGGTGCCGTTACCTTGACAGCAGGGTGGTTCAAGACGGTGACATTAGCAGGCAGAACCGTCACGTCCTCAACCAGCAGGAACTCCACGGAGGTAAATAAGGCAGACGGTGCCTGGGAACACAATGAAACCAGAGCAACGTTCCATCAGGGCTGCTCCAGGTTACAAAAGCAGCACTGGCTTCCTCCCCTCCAACACAAACGACGACGCAGGTTGCAGACGGGCATTTCTCCGGACAGCAATCTCTGCCCGTGAAGCTGCAAAGGTTGGCATTCAGGGCTGAACGTGAGGCCTTACTGCGTTCCCACCGAGATCTGGTCCCCCACAAAGGCTCCTCACTGCTCACCCGTGGGCCACCACTGCTGCTGTACTTCACGAAGCCGACTTCAACACGAACAGTTCCTTTCATCTGATGCACTTCTAGAAGCTGATGTCCTGCAAGCAACAGATGACAAAAAAAGAGAAACCGAAACAAGACGGTGAAGATTTGTCAAGTTTCGCTGAGTTCCTGAGGAACAGCTTTGAGTATCGGCCTGTCAGTGATGCCCCCCACAGCCCAGCAGTACCGTGCAGCCTGCTCTGCCCGCTGCCGTCGTCCTTCACCACCATCCTGGTGGCTCTGGCGTCAGAGAAGTGAGCCAGGCTCCTGTTGGACGACTTCCAGTGCAGCACCAGCGAGCTGAAGTTGTCAAACTTGCGCTGCTGCCCATCCAAGACCACCAGCTCCAGCTCTGTGCTCCTGCGGCTGGAAATGGGGACCTGCACACCAAGGAGGAGCTCCATCACGGCTCACCGCCTGCCTTCACAAGGAATGTTTCCTCCTCCCGAACAAGAATCAGTCAGACTGCAGTGACAGCATTCTGGGCAGTGGCTGCTCCCATCTCCCAGCTACAGTTTGGTCACCCAACGTACTGCAGGGATTCCTCTCGGAGCTTCCCTGCTTGCAACATCAGTTACTGCCAGGCCAAACACGACGGGCAAAGGAATTTTGTCAGCAAAGGGCCCAGGCCATCATTCCATAGAATCACAGAATCCTAGAATGGCCTGGGTTGCAAAGGAGCACAATGTTCACCTCATTCCAACCCCCTGCTGTGTGCAGGGTCACCAACCAGCAGAGCAGGCTGCCCAGAGAACCCATGGGGTGCCATAGGGATCCATAGGGATCCATAGGGTGCCACAGGGATCCATAGGGTGCCATAGGGATCCATAGGGATCCATAGGGTGCCACAGGGATCCATAGGGTGTCATTAGGATTCACAGAATCATGGACTCATAGAATGGCCTGGGTTGCAAAGGCCCACAGCAGCCATCAGCTCCAACCCCCTGCAGTGTGCAGGTCTCCAACCAGCAGCCCAGGCTGCCCAGGGCCCCATCCAGCCTGGCCTCCAAGCCCTCCAGCGATGGACGGGGCATCGCAGCCTCTCTGGGCAGCTCTTCAGCCCCTCACCGCTCTCCCAGCACACAACTTCCCTGACCCCCAGCCTCCAGCTGCCCTCCCTCCGCTTCCAGCCGTTCCCTGCTCTCATCTCCCCTGCCCAAGAGCTGCCTCCCCTCCTGGCTGCAGGCTCCCTGCAGGCTGCGCTCAGCTCAGCCCCGGCTCCTCTTCTCCGTGCTGAACGAGCCCAGCTCCCTCAGCCTGGCTTTGCAGGGAGCTGCTGCAGCCCCTGCTCAGCCCTGCGGCTCCTCTGGCTCCTCTCCCACAGCTCCCTGTCTTTCTCGTGCTGGACGCAGTGCTGCCCCAAGCCTTACCAGCTGCTTGCTGTGCTGTGGCAGCAGACAAGGTGGAGCAGCTCCATAGGACGGGCTCACAGCCATGCTGACAGGAGCAGCACAGATGAACGTCACCACGGCTGACTCCACAGCAGGTGCGGGGTTCAGCAGCCCAGCCCGGTTCCCTGCACGGAACGTGAGCACCTGCAGGGACACACAGAGAGCTGCAAGGCGCCCAGATCAGCCGCAGAGGGCAGAAAGAAACGGCCGTGCCTTCAGATGCAAAGCTGGCATCAGGTGCTCAGAGCCAAAGGATGCGCAGGACGATCAGAATCACAGAATCACCCGGGTCGGAAGGGACCTCAAGGATCACGCAGTTCCAACCCCCTGCCCAGCAGGGCCACCAAACATCCACATTCACATCAGGTTGCCCAGGACCCCGTCCAACCTGGCCTTGAACACGGCCAAGGACGGGGCATCCACAGCCTCCCTGGGCAGCCCGTTCCAGGGCCTGACTGCTCTCCTTGGGAAGAACTTCCCCCTAACATCCAACCTCAATCTTCCCTCCTTCAACTTGGATGGGTTCCTATGGGTTCCTATGGGTTCCTATGGGTTCTATGGGTTCCTATGGGTTCCTATGGGGCTCTGTGGGTTCCTATGGGTTCCTATGGGTCCCCTTGGTTCCTATGGGTTCTATGGGTTCCCATGGGTTCCTATGGGGCTCTATGGGTTCCTATGGGGCTCTATGGGTCCTCTTGGTTCCTATGGGTTCACAGAATCAGAATCACAGATCACAGAATCACCCGGGTCGGAAGGGACCTCAAGGATCACGCAGTTCCAACCCCCTGCCCAGCAGGGCCACCAAACATCCACATTGAGATCAGGTTGCCCAGGACCCCGTCCAACCTGGCCTTGAACACGGCCAAGGACGGGGCATCACAGCCTCCCTGGGCAGCCCGTTCCAGGGCCTGACTGCTCTCCTGTTAAAGAACTTCCCCCTAACATCCAACTGAAATCTTCCCTCCTTCAACATGGATCCATAGGATTGGAAAAGACCTGGCAGGTGATCGGGTCCAGCTGCCAGCCCATCACCCCGCTGCCCACCACCCCGGGTCCCTCGCCCTGTGGCCAGGCGCGCAGCCACTGCTGCTGACTGCCATCGTAGTCAGGACGCAGATGAGCAGAAAGAGCAGAAGCAGCACCTGCAGCACAGCTGCGGTGCCTCCGAAGGTTGTGAGATGCTAAGAACCCTCTGCCTTCTGGCTCCTGCATCGTGTTCTTGAGTTTAATACTGAACCCATCACCACATTTGGATTCCGAAAGGAGTTTTCTCTGCAAAGAGCAGCTCTCCCCCACCCCCAGTGACCGTGTCCCATTCCTACGGTTAGCTGGGTATCTTCCCAAAACGTTTTTTTGCCTTGTAGAAGTTTCTGCGGGCAGTTTGGAGGGAAGCTGCACCGCGGCTGTCTGTGCATCAGGACAGAAGCACCAGCCTGAACAGGACCCCTTCCGTCCTTTCCCCAAACACAGCTCTGAGTCAAACAGGAACCAACAAACCAACAAGTGTAAGAAGAGTGAAATCCTTTGTGAGCAAACCCAGGCTGTGAGCTCTCTACTCGAGGAAATGGGAGACTGAAGGTGCAAATCTACCCAGCCTGCAGCTCCTGATGAAGTTCAGAACGCTGCTTACCTGCTGCCCCAGCTCCAGGCACGCCGCACGGTACACGTACTGCTTCACTTTCCTTTGGGTTGGCAGGCGGATTTGCACCACCTCAATTTTACTTCTGTGTTCTACAGTCAGTTCCGAAAAGAAACGGGACGGTTCCAGAACCCAGGGCCCTGGGCCACCCTCGAAAACAATCTCCTTGGTTGCCTTCCAGGTCACCAGAGCCACCTCCGCAGGGTTGACGGCCTGAGCACGTGAAGAAAAGCAAAGCAGGAATTCCTCTTTTGGTGCCATCTGTCAGTGGGGCGTTCGAGTCAAAAAGAGACCAAGAAGAACCACTGATGGCACTGCAGGCCTGCAACTACTCCAGCAACGTCAGGGATGCTTAAGGTCAACCCCCAGGGCTCTGTAAGGCCGGAATGAAGTCATGCACACGCACGACAAGCAGACAAGAAACTGCAGATTGTTATAAAATATCCCCATTTTTCTTCTGCGTTCATTTCTTCCAAGCTGCCCAAGAAATCCAGCTTAGGCCCCACCTCTGAAAGTGCTGATCCAGCAGCACGCAGCTCAGACTGAAAAACAAAGAGCAGCCAAACACACTGCTGCTCTTCCCCAGAAACTGAAGCCAAGTTGACTCTTCAACCCATTTACTCCCATCCAACAGAACGGATTTTGTTTGTTGCTGTCGGTTAATCCCCAGCTGCAAACAACTCAGGATGCAGCACTGTGCAACGGAGGCTCCTCAGCGGTCAGCGATTGGAACCCAGCACGCACGTCCTCACCTTGAGAGGCTCATAAGCAGCAAACGTTGCACTTGTTTGCAAGGACTGCTGGTGGACACGAACGCTCACTGTCAGCACTGTGTGTCCCACAGACCTGGCTTCTATTTGGACGCTGGAGCAGAACGTCCGGTAGGGCTTCTGACGACCTAAAACAGAACGTCTCTCATCTGTGATGAAATTAAGTGCAGGAGAGCCCTTAACATCCTTTGGTTTTCCTAAAGGCTCCCCCAGGTGGCACATTTGATCCCACAGCCGTTGGGAGACAATTAGAAAAGAGCTGAATGACAGCACGGTTTGGGTTGGGAGCTCAGGGGTCCCAAAGCTGCGACCCCACAGCGCCTGCAAAGCCCCCGACCTGCCCACGTCTCACAGCAGCCCAGGCTGCCCAGGGCCCCATCCAGCCTGGCCTCCAAGCCCTCCAGCGATGGACGGGGCATCGCAGCCTCTCTGGGCAGCTCTTCAGCCCCTCACCGCTCTCCCAGCACACAACTTCCCTGACCCCCAGCCTCCAGCTGCCCTCCCTCCGCTTCCAGCCGTTCCCTGCTCTCATCTCCCCTGCCCAAGAGCTGCCTCCCCTCCTGGCTGCAGGCTCCCTGCAGGCTGCACTCAGCTCAGCCCCGGCTCCTCTTCTCCGTGCTGAACGAGCCCAGCTCCCTCAGCCTGGCTTTGCAGGGAGCTGCTGCAGCCCCTGCTCAGCCCTGCGGCTCCTCTGGCTCCTCTCCCACAGCTCCCTGTCTTGTCTGGGAACCCCCAGCCCTGGACGCGGTGCTGCACACGGGGCCTCAGAGAGCAGAGCAGATGCTTCAACCCCATCACAGCCTCAGCATTCATTAACAGCTGACGAAGTCCCCACAAATTATACAAAGCACGCTTACGAGAACAAGCATTTTGGAGCTGACCCATCATACCTCCTTCTGCAAGGACAAACACTCCTCTCTTCTCCATGCTTATCTCCAAAGGCAAGAGGGAGCAGTCGGTGAAAGCAATGTACTCCCCCGTTTCCCTGCGTGTGAAGTAAGCCTGGAGAGGAGCCAGCAGCGCGTGCCCCACCTCCACGTCCGCATGCAGCGGCACCAGTTCCAGCTTTGCCAGAGGTTCCACAAACACCTGCATGAGCAGAGCATCAGGAAGCAGCATGAGAGCAGAAAACTGCGACAGCAGGAAACAGCCCACGTCAAAAGCTGGGGAACAGATGGATGGCACCTTCGCTTACAAACGCTCTAACAGTTCTGACGTGACGCTAAAGAGGATGCAAAATCAATTCAGCAGCTGCACAAAGCAGCACAATTTTGCTGCACGAAGCAGCACCTGACACTCGAGATGTAAGAAATACTAAGATGCAAGTCCAGTAACGTACACTGGAAACGGTGCCACCGACAGCAAGCTGCAATAAAAGCCTGCAGAAAACCGAGCCCAGCTCTTCTGAACAACAAACACACTTTGACCTTCAAGCAGAAGCTTTCTGTTCCTCAGCCTGGACAAGACAGCAATTCAGAACAATGAAATCATAAAAGAAAGACTTCCCTGTATTGCTGCGTAATGAAAGGGGTTCTGTGCGTCCCTGGCCTGAAGCGTGCAGTGCCCCTGCGCCAGGCCTCCGCTCACCACTCCCTGCACGGTGACCGTGGCCACAGTTTGATTGGAAGAAACCCAGGAGAAGTTGCCACTGCCTCCCTCCACCTGTGGGAACAGAAAGGAAAGGGGGTGTCATGAATACAGCAGGAGGGGGAAAACAACCTTGTGCTCGTGGCTTAGCTGTGCAGCAGCACCAAAGGGTGCTTCTGTTGCCTCTTATGCAACGCTTCCAGCAGTTCAATCTGCAGTGATGCTGAACGGCGTCCAGCCAAGTGAACGGCAAACGAAACGAAGAACAAAGTGACAAAGCAGCAGAGAGGCAGAAAAAGGAAAGGCGAGGGGACAGGAATGGGGCATTTCTGGGGAAAGGAAAGCAGCACGTGGGCTTGTCAGTGAGACAGGGATGCTGCGAGGGAGGCAGGCAGCTAGCAGAGGAACTGAGCCGGGAGCTCCCAGAACAAGGAGGCCGCCCCAGCTCCCCAAAGCACGCCGGACTTCACCTGGAGCTGGTGCTGATGCAGCACTCCTGCGGGGTGCCATGGGAACGCGAGCAGAGGAGAGGAGAGCCGGATGGGGGGGAACAGCTTCACCTCCTGCTCACGGCTGATCGCTGCGGGGAAGGGAGCAGCAGAGCCATCCTGCAAACACGGGGACAAGAGGAAAAGCCCTTTCCATCGGAGCATCCAGAAGACAAACTGCTGGTCTCACAGCGAATCCAGCCTGAACGCAGAATCCCCACGGAACAGATCGCTGCCACGGCCACAGGCTTGAAAAGCACACAGGTGGAATCAAGTGTTTCTTTTGGGGGATTGCAATCCAAACAACTGCGCTGCGCTGCAATGCGGCCCACAAAACACTTTGTATAAAGTTAAAGGCAGGAGTCTGGCTGTATTTGTTTCCTTCACGCATTTAATTTCCTTCCCAGGTGCCGAGGCCAATTGGCACAGTGTGCATTGCTATGAAACCCATCAGCTTCAGCTTGCCTTTCTAACTGTCTGCTTTCTCACTTTTCTAAGGGTCAGTTTTTCCCTCTCGGATGCTCCCAGCTCACCAGCTGCAGGAGTTGCATACAAAGGCCTCGTGGGGAGTAACTCAGGTTGTAGCAGGACAAATACAGCACGGCTCCAATCACAGAGCAGCTCGTTTCCCATGGATGTGAGCAGCGCTAGGACACAACCCAAGGGACTGAAGAAACATTCTGAAGAAAAAGCCTGAAGAGCCTGCAGCCAGGAGGGGAGGCAGCTCTTGGGCAGGGGAGATGAGAGCAGGGAACGGCTGGAAGCGGAGGGAGGGCAGCTGGAGGCTGGGGGTCAGGGAAGTTGTGTGCTGGGAGAGCGGTGAGGGGCTGAAGAGCTGCCCAGAGAGGCTGCGATGCCCCGTCCATCGCTGGAGGGCTTGGAGGCCAGGCTGGATGGGGCCCTGGGCAGCCTGGGCTGCTGTGAGACGTGGGCAGGTCGGGGGCTTTGCAGGCGCTGTGGGGTCGCAGCTTTGGGACCCCTGAGCTCCCGACCCAAACCGTGACTGTGAAAATCACAACCATCCTTATCTCTTACCTGCTGAAGGACAGAAAGCAGCTCAGCCCTTATCGCTGTGGTGCCACCTTTTCGGACTCGAACCACGTGGTGAGAGCCGTTAGGAGACGCCGTCAGCTCCTCAAAATGCTCCTCAGACAAGCGGAGAGTCATCCTGAGGTTCTGCGAACGGACCAAAATCAGTCAACGCTGCAGCTCCTCCAAGGGAGCCCAGATTCACTGCACACAAACACCCACAGGGCTGCGCTGTCCTGGAGAGCTTTGTAACACAGGTAAGACTGAAGCGAGAGTGGAAATCTGTGTTACAGAGACTGAAGGAGACTGAGGTGATAAAAGCAACAGCCGCTTTCCTTCTCCTGCTCTCTAATCCTGACACTACTTTCAGTGCACTTGGAATGCTGCGTTCATTCCACGCTCCCCATGACAGCAGCGCAACTCATCGCAGCAGCCCAGGCAGCCACGCGTTGCTAGCAGGCATTTACTCACCTCAGACAAATAAACCTTGGTGCTGTCCCTGTCATAAACCTCAACGGTGATGGCGTAGCGCCGCTGCACCTCCAGCACCCATCTGTCTCCTGGAGAGATGCTGAAACCTGAGATAGGAAACCAAAATCAGCAGCAACCAACAAAAAAAACCCCAAACGGTCGCTATCTTTCATTAAGAACTTTGCTGCCAGAGTTGCTTTTCTGTCTGCAGGACAACCGAGCGATCCCTAACTTGGGTTAGAAACTGTAAGTTTGTGCTCTGTTTTGTGCCCCATCAATGGGATGCAATTTTTGGTCACCGACGTCTTTCTGCTGACGGGGTCCTGGGCAACCTGATCTGAATGTGGATGTTTGGTGGCCCTGCTGGGCAGGGGGTTGGAACTGCGTGATCCTTGAGGTCCCTTCCGACCCGGGTGATTCTGTGATTCTGATTCTGTGAACCCATAGGAACCAAGAGGACCCATAGAGCCCCATAGGAACCCATGGGAACCCATAGAACCCATAGGAACCAAGGGGACCCATAGAGCCCCATAGGAACCCATAGAGCCCCATAGGAACCCATGGGAACCCATAGAACCCATAGGAACCAAAGGGACCCATAGAGCCCCATAGGAACCCATAGAGCCCCATAGGAACCCATGGGAACCCATAGAACCCATAGGAACCAAGGGGACCCATAGAGCCCCATAGGAACCCATAGAGCCCTATAGGAACCCATGGGAACCCATAGAACCCATAGGAACCAAGGGGACCCATAGAGCCCCATAGGAACCCACAGAGCCCCATAGGAACCCATGGGAACCCATAGAACCCCATAGGAACCCATGGGAACCCATAGAACCCATAGGAACCCATAGAGCCCCATAGGAACCCATAGGAACCCACAGAGCCCCATAGGAAACAAGGGGACCCATAGGAACCCATAGGAACCCACAGAGCCCCATAGGAACCCACAGAGCCCCATAGGAACCCATAGGAACCCATAGAACCCATAGGAACCCATAGGAACCCATAGGAACCCACAGAGCCCCATAGGAACCCATAGGAACCCACAGAGCCCCATAGGAAACAAGGGGACCCATAGGAACCCATAGGAACCCACAGAGCCCCATAGGAACCCACAGAGCCCCATAGGAACCCATAGGAACCCATAGAACCCATAGGAACCCATAGGAACCCATAGGAACCCACAGAGCCCCATAGGAACCAAGGGGACCCACAGAGCCCCATAGGAACCCATAGGAACCCATAGGAACCCATCCAAGTTGAGGGAGGGAAGATTGAGGTTGGATGTTAGGGGGAAGTTCTTCCCAAGGAGAGCAGTCAGGCCCTGGAACGGGCTGCCCAGGGAGGCTGTGATGCCCCGTCCTTGGCCGTGTTCAAGGCCAGGTTGGACGGGGTCCTGGGCAACCTGATCTGAATGTGGATGTTTGGTGGCCCTGCTGGGCAGGGGGTTGGAACTACGAGATCCTTGAGGTCCCTTCCGACCCGGGTGATTCTGTGATTCTGTGATGTTCAGCTCATTGCTCTGACTCAGAAAGCAGCCCATCGAACGGGGCAAAGCCGACTTCAGTTCTCAAACCAGAGCACTTGGAGAGATGCGCCCTGCTCCGGCCTTGAGAATGAAGGCACCGATTCGTTACGTGTGATCCTGATCAGAAAAAAACCCAGAAGGACGATGTGAGGCGTTAACAACCGAGCTCCTACTTTCCCATTACCTAAAAACTCAGCTTCTACCACGTGGATGGTGCAGTTAGGCAGCCCAGATGCAGCTCGCATGTGAATGTCTTGATTTATGTATAGGAATTCTGTTGGATGTTTTTCACTCAGGAGCGGGTTTAAATACAGAGCAACCGAGGGTGTGGAGTTTGATCTAATTTTCACCCCCTGCCGCCATCAGTGGGGCTCCATTTTGTAACTGGGTGGAGGAGGAGCCCTTGTGAATAGAGAGAAGAGGAAGGAAGAGAACGGGGAAGCAGAGCAGCAGGGAGCACCGAGCCGAGGGGAAGGAGGAGGCGCAGGGAGCCCCTCCAACAAAGCTCAAGCACTCAGAGCCACTGCGAACCAAAACCAAAGCGTCCCGCCTGCCTTCACAACCTGTTTCACTCCTGATCTGTGACTGTAAATCAGGGAGAGCTTGGGAGATCGCACAGCTCACTGCAAGAAAGACATTGAGGGCCTGGAACGCGTTCAAAGGAGGGCAATGAAATGGTGAGGGGTCTGGAGCACAGGGCTGATGAGGAGAGGCTGAAGGAGCTGGGAATGTTCAGCATGGAGAAGAGGAGCTCAGGGGGGACCTCACTGCTCTCTATGGCTGCCTGAAGGGAGGCTGCGGTGAGCTGGGGGTCGGCCTCTGCTCTGGTGCCATCAGTGATAGGAGCAGAGGGAACGGCTTCAAGCCACGGCAGGGGAGATTCAGGCTGGACGTGAGGAAGTGTTACTGTTCAGAAAGGTGGGCAGCACTGCAATGGATGCCCAGGGAGGTGGGGGAGGCACCGAGCCTGGGGGTGTCCAAGGAAAGGCTGGATGTTGTGCTGAGGGACGTGGTTCAGTGGGAGCTGTTGGGGATGGGGGAACGGTTGGACTGGGGGAGCTTTGAGGTCTTTTCCAACCTTGGTGATTCTATGATTCTATGATTCTATGATTCTATGAGCTGCCCAGCAGCACAGAGCACAGCACACAAGGATACTGCGATGGACCACGACCAGGCCGCTCTGCCCCAGCTGCACGGCTCGCACGGCGCCGCTCCTCCCGTCCAGGTTGGCCACAGGCAGGAGCTCAGAGCCCCCAGGAGCAGCGACCTGATCCCGAAGCTGCAGCTCGTAATGCTCCAGAGGAAATTCCAGCTCTGCAAAACACAACAATTGCCGTGGTTTTATAACCACCTCCGCTCTCCTCCGAAGCATTCTCTTTCAGCAGGCACGAACGCAAGGACCGAACAACAACGGCAGCACTCCGTCAGTCTAAAGAAGGAACTGGCTGCTGTTTTCTCCACGCTGGCAGCGTCAGTTCAGCGCTCAGGAGCTGCCACACGTGGAAATCGATTCGCATCCACTCTGCCACCATTCCCCATTTCCACAGGGTGCCGCATTCCAGCACAATGAGGCCCCGGCAGCCAGGCGGCTCAGAACCAGACTTCATCTCTAAGGCTCAGAAAACCACAACGAATCCACGGCCGAGTCACAAAGCTCAGCACAAAACTGGGCTCGACGCTGGGAGAACCACTTACCTGTCATCTTCCCCCGCACAACTTTTGCAACTCTGTATTTCACAAGTGCTCCAACCAGGAGGTGAACATCGTGAGCGGGGATCAGCACTACGTGCTCCAGAACCAGCAGGCGTACCACAGCAGCAGCCACTTTCTAAAGGGAAATCAGAAGGCTGCTGTGACCCACAGCCACGACAGCCAAAGCAGGAAAAAATGACAAAGAAATGCACGTTTTCCATGCAGTTTGCCTTAAAACAGAGGTTTGGATTCTATTTGTTTCTTTCTATCAAGAAAATCGTGGTGATTATTCACCTTGTAGGTCGATTCGTGTATTCGCACTCTTATAACCGCTGCTCCAGTCGTGATTCCTGACACCAGGATTCTGTCTCCTTGTTTTTCTGCTCTTTCCAGCTCAACGATGTGGTTTGGTGGGGAATAGTCAGCTTCCGAGTACTTTAAAATCCTGACAAGAAAACAAAAGTAACCTTGGCTGCCATCTCCGTGACCATTTTGGATTCAACGCAGCCAGGCTCGTGTGCCACGAGGCCATTGATCAGGAAGAAATCATCAGCAGAGAACCGTGGAAAAAAGCAGGTAGGAAACACGCCTGCAAGGCTCCAATCACACCCCCAGTTTGAAGCAGAGGAACCTCAAACTTAAGCTGGATTCCTCGGGATCCTCCCTGACAGAGATTTAAAACTGCCCAGGGATGAAGCTCAAGCATTGAACCCAATGCGTGTCAATTCCTCGCCCTAGGAGCACCCCAAGATGAAAGCAAGCCCTAAACATCCCCTCATCCTTTTGTCACAGTCACCTTATTTTGTCTGACGATTCCACGCTGTCCACATCCTCATCCTTTGCGACGCTCCACTCAAAAACCATTCCTGACAAGCTACTGAACGTGTTGCCTGAAAACAAAAGTGAAAACTCACATGAAGGGGAAAATTCATGCACTCTTGTTAGCTGCCATGGTAAAATCGAGCCTCCTTTCCTTCTGAACACGAAGGCAACAAGCAGCATTTATTTCTCAGAGCACAGCTTTGGCGTGGTACTGGGAGAGCCCTTCTCACAACCGTACCTTTGACATCCAGGGCTCTCACTGCCAGCTCCAGGGGAGAATCCTCCACGTAGATCTCCCGAGTTCGGGACAGAATTTCAATGCTGTTGATCACATCAACCATCACGTCGCAGCGGAGCGTGTGGCCGGTGACTGCAGCAAGGGAACAAACAGCGCTTCGTTCAGCCCCTGCAGGTTCCTATGGACTCAACAGCTGCGAAAAGCTCTGCCAGTGAGAATAATCAATAGCTGCTTTCTCACCCTGCAGAACATGGCTGAGGTGTTATCACTCATCACAGCTTGTTTTCAACAAAATAATATCACGATATCGTACACTTTGATACAAGCCCTAAATCCTACATCACCTCCCACCTCATGAGCCTCTGCTTTTCCACCCACCGTGCTCCTCAGCCATCACAGCACTGCTCAGCCTGGTGGGCTGTGTGGACTGAGCAGACAGCAGGGCTTTCTGGGCGCATGCAGCACCATTCTCATAAAAGGGCTCAGCTTTGACAACGTTGTCGTGCATGGAACGCCTGAAAGACACAAAGACATTCCCTTCTCTGCTTACGTGTCTATCTTTACAGCACTGTCAGAGCACTGGGCTCCTCACCGCCCTTCTGGGCAGACCACGGGCCTCTGCTGGGCAGGGCACAGACGTCTGTGAGGCAGATCATAGGCCTCCGTCAGGCAGGCCATAGCCCTCCATTGTGCAGGCCATAGAGCCTGTCATGCAGGCCGTGGGCCTCTGGCAGCCACACGGCACAGCCAGGCCATTATCACACACAAGGCCCCTGATCCAGGCCCCCGCCTCCTCACTGCACCCCGAACCCCTCCGTCCCCACACACCTTTCCACCCCCCCCCCCCCTTCAGCACTGCTTGCTCCCTCCCTCACCACGAGTAACAGCCCCACTCGGCCTCCAGCACGAAAGACACTCTGATCTCCCGGCTGAAGGGCAGCAACACTTTGGGCGCATTAAGCTTAAAGGCGCAAGAAGGCACCACGACGAACACAACGAGGGCGAGAAGGGGAAAGCGCCGAGCCCGCCGCATCCTGTCAGCGAAGCAAAATGGCGCCGCTCACAAAGCTCTCTGCGCGTGCGCGTTAGGACGACGCGCACCCGGCACCTGCTGGCTGCGCATGCGCGTTAAGACCACGTGTGCGGCATTCGCTCACGGCGCATGCGCGATGCCCCGCCCTCGCAGCGCGCCAATTTCTCTCAGAGCCCGTGCGCGCGCCTCGCCCCTCCCCCCCCCCCCAAGCGCTCCCGCACACCGAACAGAGCGAGGCGACACGGTGTGGAGAGATCGCTTTTTATTTCAAAAGACAGTAAGACAAGTTCTCAATTTAGTATCAAAACACTCGACATGGTTCTTTTGTTTGCTTTTTTTTTTTTTCCTCCAGATTGGCCCCGTAACCGCAACGAGCACACAGCAACGGCCCAGCCTGCCTGCGCTCGGCCTCACAGACACCACAGGGGGAGACGTGGGAGCTCTGCGGGCCCGGAGGGAAAGGCCTCTGCCTGGGGAGGCAGAACTGCTTGGAGAAAACCAGGACTGAAGCTGTCAGGCTGAGCCCAGGGATGAGGGGCAAAGCACTGAGTGAAGGCAGAGCCACCCTGGGCATCGGGAGCCACGGCTGCGTGGAACCCGTGAGAAAGGAAAGGGGAAACACCGGGGAGGGAAAAGGGAACAACCACCGACCCACCAGCTTGAGCTGTTTGGAGAACAAGGGGAAAGATTTAAAACAAACAAACAAAACAAAACAAAACCCACAAAAAATAAACTGCTTTTGCTCAAATTGCTTCTCCACAGAGTTACCTTAAAGCTGAGAAATGGAACTGCTCGTTTGGCAAGCAGCTCTCAGAGCAAAGCGTGCCCAGCCCAGCCCCACTCCCACCTCCTCTCCCCCAAACTGGGCTCCAAGGGGTTAATACCAAAATTAAAGCCCAGAGCTTTGTTTGTAGCTCACCAGCATCGCTTATTTGGAATGTTTACAATGGTTGCTACAAAAAAAAAAAAAGAAAAAAAGGAAAAAGAAGGTAGTTACAAAATGTGTACATCTCAAACATGCTCTCCCCCGACATTATTGCATCGTTTGTTTCCCTTAATTACGCTGTGTGAAGCTCTGCCCAAGCCGGTGACCTCTAACCCCCAGGTGAAGAAGCAGAGCTGCATTGGGGCAAGTTGGCAACAGAAAGGAAACGGAGCCCAAGGGTTAGAGGGCAGCGGGGGCTGGGCTGACCCCGGGCGTCGTGTGGCAGAGGCAGCAGCGGGGCTCCATTACATCTCGTTCAGGTCTAGCAGGGTCTGGTCCAGCATTCGTTGCGTGCAGAGATGCTCCTCTTTGGTGGATTTCAGTTTATCTGGCAGGAAGCAAGAGGCAGAGTTACAAGTCAGCTTCAGGCAACGGAGAGACCTCGGCCAAAGAAAGCTCACGCCTGCCCCTTCCCAGCGTTCTCAAACCGTGGATGCCTGGCTGGTTGCAGTGAGCAGCTCTGGAGTTTACCTGTTTCTTTGCAGCCCTCGTTCTCACGCCGCTGCTGCTCCGCAGGACGCGCTCTGAGCTACTGCTGTGGGCAGCACTGTGCATGCAGGTGCCTCAGACTGCAGCTAGCTTCCCCCCGGGGCTGCAACGCTTCAGACAGCAGCCCCCGTGGCCCAGCAAGCCACCCAAGAGCAACTTAAGGATTAAACACACGTAAGAAACCAGCCCCTAGGATTACAACCGATTGTGCCCCCATCCCCCCCAGCGCAGGATAGAGATGCCAAGCTGGCCACCGGGACCATTGCTACCTAGCAGCAGGGAGCAGACAACCAAGGAGAGCGCGAAGAGCAGGCAGTGAGCGAGGAGGAGCGGGGTGCTGCAGCTCTGCCCGAGGCTCCGGGCAGCTCGCGCAGTCGGTTCTCACATTGTCCTTAAGCCAGGAGGAGAGCTCAGATCAGCAACTAGCACTCTAGGTGCGCTTTACTCCATAGGTGAGCCCACCCATACCACTGAAGAAATCCACGCCTCGGGACACCGGGTAGCCACGCTGTGGGAAGACGGCCTTTAGGAACAGGCGGGTGCTCAGAGCTGCTCTCCACCTCCCGGGGGGGGCAGGGAGGGGCTGCAGCCACCCCAGGGTGAGAGACAGCGCGGCACACGCAGCAAGCAGCACCTCTCCTACAGCACCAACTACTGCAGCATTTCAGGGCTCCCTGCGGGCGCTCGAGAGACAGCTGCACGTCGTGGGTTCGGAGACTTGCTCTCAAAACACCCGCAAGCTTCCCCCAACCCACCCTGGGACTCCACGGCCGCTCTGAGATGAGGCCCCAGGCACCGCTGCTTCCCCCAGACCTCTGAGGTCGACTCGGCTACACAGGAAAGCACTACAGGTGTGCGGCGTCTCACAGACAGCGAGGTCAGTCATTTATTATTAGGAGCCATCATTCCATGCAGCAGGAAATCCCACAGTCAGTCAGCTAACAGTCATTAAGCTCTAGCATGTGAGAGGCATCTTCCAGCAGGCACGAGCCTGACTTCACACCACCCCTCTGTGGGTGGGTGCAGCCGTTCTGGTTCCCTGGAGGAGCCAGGCAGCCCCCTGTGCAAGAGAACAGGGCTGCTGAAAGATCAGCCCAGGCTCAGAGGTTTCCCACCGAGAATACAGGTTACTTTTATAATAATAATTTTTTAAAAAGCCCTTAAAATAAGTTAGAGAAGAAATTCAACTGCTCCGTTCAATAGCAGTGGTTGCATAGAATTTGCAAGTGTGCCAGGCTTAAGAGCGCTCAGATCTCAGTGTGGTCCACAGCACTGGTGGTCGCAATTAGCTCGCTTAATGGCATTAGTGGGCCCCTTCTCAGTCACACAGATCATGCAGCGTTAGCTTCAGCTCGTTAGAGAGCAGGCGGTTTTTCTCGAGCTGGCTGTACAGGCGCTCTGCAGCAGCAACAGGATGAGGGGAAGAAGAGGAAGAGAGAAAAAGAGAGAAAGGGCAGGTTAGTAGAGCAGCCAGAGGAGCACGTCCATAGCCTGCCTGCGAGGACCGAGCCTGGGCTACTGCACAGAGGAAGCTGGGAAGAACAAATTTACTGCGCTCTGATTTGCTTCTGAGCTCGGGAAGATCGCAGTGGAAGCCACGCGTGGGCAGAAGTGGAAATGCTGCCAAAGGTTTGGGAAGGCAAAGGAAGGGAGAACGCCAGAAGAGTCCGCAGGCTGGGCCGCACCGTAGCCAGGGAAGGAGAAGGATGTGGGATGTGCTTTAAGCCCGAGGGCTCTGAAGAAAGAGTCCCACAGCAGCTGAACCACAAACACCTCCCAGGGTCCGATTCCTGCACTTGGGGGATTCCAGGCAGTGAAAAAAATCCCTTGGCCACAGCTTCCAGCCGGACAGAAATCATCCTCGTAGCTGCGGTGACACACAGCACCATGACGAGCACAGAGCACAGCTGCTGCCTTCGCACCTCACACCCTGCAGGTGCTACGAGAACCCCAGGAACCTCCAGCGACCTCAGGAGGGCCGCGCTGTTCCTCGTTACTTTCAATCTAGGAACAATTGCAAGGCCTGCCCACGTCAAGTTCAGCTGTTCCCCTGAGCAGTCACAGCACATCCCTCCCTGCCCCCCGACATCCCCACACAGGGGAGAAGCTTCTCCTCACCCAGCTGCACCCCGCTCTGCAGGACAGAGGGTGGCAGCGCTGACTGACCCCCCTTCCAAGCCACCAAGGGACAAAGCAACGACCGGAGGAGCTGAAATTTCCACCCTGCTGCAACCCAAGCAGGAGCAGAGGGAAGCCGTGCTGATGGGGACGCCAGCACCAGCCTGCCCTGCACGCAGGCTCCCAGCATCGCCCTCCCAGCTGGGCCTGGGTCTCTGGGGCAAGAGATGGGATGAAACTGCAGTCAGTGGAAGGGCCAGCAACCAGAGGCTGGGGCAACGGCAGCTCCCAGGCAGTATTACTGCTCGTGGGCAGAGCCCTGACAAGGCGCCCATGTGAGGGAGAACCCGACTGCAGTCATCACCGTGACCTTCCTGACACCTCGGGAACGGCTTCTGAACACGGAGCGGCCGCTCACACCTGCAGGGCTGCAGCAATGCCTGACCTGCTCTGCTCCCTCCCAGCCTGCAGGGCAGCCTCACAGCCACGCGGAGCCCCACGACCCTTCGTGGTCGGCTTATCCACGCCTGCAGCAATCCTGCACCGGGAGCCCAGCCTGTGGCAACCAGCCTGCACAAGCCCTGCAATCCCGTCAGACCAGAAGCTTCCCAAAACCTCCCAGGGCAGGAATTGCATCACCCTCCCACTGTGGAGTTCCACCAGGATGAGCGGGGAGCGGGCTTGCCGCGGCCCAGCCTTCAGGAACGCGGTTTGCAACGCCTGCTCCGCTCCATGGGAGCAGGTAACAAACCCAGAGCCAGGACCTCCCCTCGAGGAGAGGCCATTTCACAAGGGCAGGGAGCACCGTGCCACCTCCAGCGGGGAGAACTGGCAGGCAGCGCTGGCTGGAAGCCTCCACCTCCCGGGAGGTAACGAGAGGCCGCCCCCCACACAGCCAGACTCCCCACCTCAGCTGCACAGCTGGGTACCGACAAGGATTCTCACTTGTGGGACCAGAGCTCCGCAAAGCATCGAGCCAACATCTGCGGAGCTTCCCAAGCTCTGGGATTCCTCCCAGAAGCGCCTCGTCCTCCCCCGCCCCACGCAGGGAACAGCCCTAACACGGCCCAGCGCCAACTGGGAGCGCCACGTGTGTGCAGAGCAGGCTGTGCACAAACCTGAGGTTCGGGGAACCAGGGCAGATGTCCCATTTCACCAAAGCTCGATTCCTGAAGGGCTCTTCGGGCCCTGTGGCAGAGGAACCAATGCAGGAAGGAAGAAGCATTGGAGAAGCCACCGCGAGGCAGCACAGAATTACAAGAGGCAAATCAGTTTTCACGGTCCCAGAGCAACCAGAAAGACTCCAGACTCACACCGGCAGCGACGCGTTACGTGCCTGCAGCCGTGCTCAGCGTCCTGCTGTACCCCACATCCACCCCCCAAGGGTCCTCCGCCACCCCCAGCCCCACGCAGGAGCTCGAGCTGTGCTTCGTGAGCCTGCTGCAGCT